ATTGGGCTTAATAACCATGAATGATTAGTGAACTTAATGATTTTGAAATTTACAATGCAATCGCTAAGAAGAGAACGATTTTCACAAGATAAATGAATGTTTGCAATGAATTAGTTCAATTTATTTTCAGTTTAGTAAAAACTGTTCTGAATTATTTTACTACTTACCATTTTTTTGGGGCGCAACCAAATAGAGAAACAGTGGAGAACCTTCGTCATAAATATTTAGTTCATTCATTGTAGCATTATCGTCGGAGGCCAATTGTTTTCCAATTATCCATTTTTGCACATTGATTGGTATTTCAAAATCGCGTTCCACTCGCAATTTTAGTTGACTTACTTTTGTACTTCCCTTCACTTTAATGGGGAAAGGTCCTCTGTGCGAAATTTTGTCCTCCACGTACATGTGAATCCTAAATTTAGCATAATTTACATATTTTAAATATTTAACAAAAAATAAGATTATTAATAATTTAATATTTATAGTGTGGATATTTACAAGTGTCTAGGCTGTTATCTTTTAATTTTTAACTTTGTGAAATCTTTAACTCAAGAGAAGACGAAATACAAAATAATTTTATAAATTTGACAAATCCAAATTAAAATAGCATTCGAATAATTCGTGGTTGAAGATATTAATTTAGCTGACGAAGCGCGTGTTTTTATTGAAATAATATTCGAGTTTTATTTCCTTTCTCTTTGAGTCAATTATTTTTTGGTATACACGTAAATGTAAAGAAAAATGCATTTTAATGTTTCAAAAAGAGTTTGATACCGACTCTACAATTGTTTCAACTTGTCAGACCTTTTATCAAAAGTACGCCGGAATCATACTATTTTTTAATGTTACGATTTAAACTTATACTGTGAAATTATGATGTTAGGTGTGGGTACATGTTGGCGAAAATTGTCTGGTGAAAGGTAATAATTGAATATTTGCTGTCAATGAAATGATCTTTATCTAATTAAATAATGTATTGATATTCCAGTACATCACTTGTTTGTTCATGTTCGTTAATTGTATTTATTACGCTTCTCCCAATCTGACCTATGTATATCAATTTTTACAATTAATTTTTTTATCCCTAATATAAAAATTGTGCATACATAGTATTTCTAGATTTAGAAAAAGCTTTTGACAATATTAAATATAGTTAAAAATGTAGGGATGAGTTATAGAAATAGAAGAGTGATACTTAGTTTGTATAAAGAGCAACAGGCAATTATAGAGCTGGGGCTGCAACGTAGAGAAGTAAATATTATGAAGAGGGAGTCAGACAGGTATGCACCCTGTCATCGCTATTAATCATTACATTGAAGACGCGATCAACATCATTTAAGACAGTACAATTGTAAGGATAGATATATAGATGCAAAAAATTAGTATGCTTAGATTTGCAGATGATATAGCAGTTTTAGCATCTAGCAAGGAGGAGTTAGAGATAGCTTTAAATAAAATGGAAGCGGTATTGACGAAACAATACTGTATAAAAATATAAAGATAGGAGACGAAAAATTAGAAAAAGGGCTGATTTTAGGTATCTAGGAAGACAGGTAAGTCAGGACCGAAAGAATAGTAAGGATATAAAGCAGAGGATAGCGCAGGGTTGAGTCGTCTTCAGTAAAAGGAAGTCACTTCTATGCTCGCAAACGGTTAATTTAGAAATTCGAAAAAGATTGTTAAGGGTGTATGTTTGGAGCGCGGCGCTGTACGGGTGCGAAACATAGACAGTGGGCGCGGCAGAAAAGAAAAGGTTAGAAGCGTTCGAAATGTGGTGTTACAGGCGAATGATGAGGATACCGTGGATAGAGAAGATTATAAATGAAGAGGTATTAGAAAGAGTAACAGAACAGAGGACTCTATGGAAGTCAATAAGAAATAGGCGAGATAGGTTAGTAGGACACCTTCTCAGGCATGAAGGTCTAGTCAGAGACACATTAGTGGCAGAAACTGGAGCTAGGGGGGGTACGCCTAGATTTAGATTGGTTTTAGAGAAATGCGAAGATTAGTTCAGGGTAGGGAAGAGTTGAGATGCGTGTCCAACTAGGACTGTCGACCTTATGATGATAATGAAAATATTGACGGAACGACTACTTTGAACGAGCTACTTCAGGAAATTAAGATGTTTATTTATTTACAATCAATCCCAACATTTCGTTCCTTAGTTTCTTGTGGCTTGCTTAGGGGAAATTATAAAATTTCGACGGGATAAATAACTTTACAATTACTCCCGAAGAAGTCCCAAATTAAGGGGTGAAACCTACTTTTATTTTGACTTCTTTGCTAGTAAAAAAGAATGTGCTTTCCTATTCGTTTATAATTGTTTCAATTTGTAGATATCGTAAATTACTCAATACTTTTATACATCGAATCGAACTTTTAATTTTATTTTTAACAACTCTTAAATCAAGTACTATTATTAAAGATAAACTATAGGCAACTGTTTTATGAACTTACGTAAAACCCTTATCTTCCGCCCTGGCAGTAGCCTTCTCTTCTTCGGACTTTTGCCTTATGACCGAACAATTAACCTTAAGTTGGGCAAGTTCTCGTGCGTAATTTGCAGCCTCTCCCAATTCTCCTTTAGCGATTGCTAATTCCAGTCGTTTGAGCAATCTTCCAATTTCTAGTGTGTCCGTATTATTAGCTACGTTATTTCTGATGTCTTCAAAGTTCACTGGCATGTTTAAAAATAGGCTCCCGTTTTGTATAAGATTCGCATAAATGTGATTTTCGTCTCTGCTGTCCATCTTCTCATTGTAGATATTTGCAAAATCGTTGGGCCGCAACAACTCGTATGTTGGATTCTTTTTCACATCTTTAGCCGCATCTAACGTATTTTCAGGAGAAAATTTACGAAGTACCGCGTTCGTCTGCACCGCCGACGAAACTTTAGTTGGTTTTAGATTGTCTGCCTTTCTAACTTTTATATTTTCATAAATTGTTTCGGTTGTTTTTATAAAAGCTTCAGCGACTTTCTCCTTTAGGGGTTCCGTTTCTTGTGTTGTTTTATTAAGCGCCCTGTTATCATTAGACAAATTTTGTTTTTTAGCTTCGTTGAGAACTAACTGATCCTTTTTATCGGTTTGTACAACGGACTGCTTTTGCGTAAGTTCATGAATTTTGATCGGAGTATTTTCTTTAGTTTCAAGCTTTATTCTTATTCCAGCTGACTTTTCTTGTGGTAATGCATTATCTTCCGTTACTTTTGCGATAATATTTGAATTTGAATTCGCGCTAAGTGCTAAATCGTTTTTTAATATTTTTGCCTCTGCAGCGGATGGTGTTGAGGTAACTTTTTTGTCTTCAACTTTAACTGGTAGTTTCGTAGAAATTGAACTATTTTCGTGAGGCTGTAAATTTAATTCTTTATTGTCTGTCTTTTTGGGATCTTCGTATAAATTTTCTGCCTTTTCCTGAATAATGCTCGAGCGAAAATTCTGTTTTCCGACATTATTCTTTTTCTTAGGTAACGAATTCTTCATTTCTATAAGTACCTTTTTCAGTCTCTCTCGCTCTTCTCTCTTGTTGTCCTCCGCAGTGTTCGCTGCGCCCTGTTCGTCGACAGATACAGACTTAGAAAATTTATTCTCTTTATTTTTATTATGATTTATTTTACTCAAGGCTGAAAACCCTATTTGTGTTTTCGACCGCTCGAAGTGTGGAGTGTCGTTACCGGATTTAAATGGCGTATATTTAGAATTATATGTACTGCCGCTGGCCGGAAAATGCCTCACTTCTAAATTTTCTATTTTATTCTTTTCGAGTGAGTTATTTTTAGGCGAAGGTATACTCAGATCATCAAAGTATGGTTTTATAGTAGAACACACGTGACATATTATTCTCCAGTAATCGTTTTCAATCGAACATTTCGGACAATTCCAACTTTTGTGTTCAGTTTTCGGCGTTTCTTTCTTATCTGATTTGTTAGTTGTGATTATAACTGCACTTTCTGATTTCATTAGAGGAATGCCTGTCTTGTTATTTTCAATTAATTTCTTTTCATCTTGGTCGATTTTTCCAAAATACTTATCACTTAATTTTTTATTGTTTTTATTTTGGTGTAAAAGTTCGTCTTTCACGCTAAGCTGCCGTCCGAAGTAATCGCGTTTGAAATTATCTTTTTGAGCTCCTCCAGGTTCTTTGGATCCAAAGAACGTACTATTCACAGTCACTTTAGTGACATTTGTAATAGCATTGAATTTGGCTATCAGATCTTTGGCGGATTTTCTTTTCGGCGACACCCAGCTGTCGGTATTCTTTGCTTCTTCCTGTTTGGGCCTCATAAACGGTGGAGGGTCCAGTTCGCCTGACTGACATTGTTCTTTTTTTATCATTTCGGTCGCTTCACGATCTAATTCACTAATGTTCGTGAGAAACGTCATTCCAGACTTTCTTTTAAAGTCGTCTTTACTGCTTTGATTAGTACCGAATATTTTTATCGATCTTGTGATCTCATCATTTTTTAGTGATTTATTTTCTTCAATATTATTTGAAACGTTGACAGATTCTGGTACCCGTTGAATTGGTTCGTATTTGTTATCAATTTTGAACGGTTCTTTCTTGGGTACGAATGTACTTTCTCTGTTAACGTTTCTTTTATACCATGGACGAGGTGAAACTGGTGATATTTCCATGGGTTTTTCTGACTTCACAGAAGAGGCGCTATCAGTAGAATAAATTGATGCTGCACTTGTATGCTCCGTCACTGGTTTCAAAACACCATGATCTAGTTTAAGAGAATCATTAGAAATAACATTTGCATCAGCATATTCTATTGTATCAAGTCGTTCTAAGGCACTTATTATTTTTCCAGAAGACACTGTTGGAGGCTGCGGAGCTAATTTCTTTTTCCGTCTGAGACTCAGTGTAGAATCTCGTGTTTTATTGTTGGTCGGTGGTTGCGGTGCTTTTCTTTTACCTTTCACATGGCAATAAGCTCCAGCTTTTTTTAATTTCGAAGATTCACTGTTTGTTCTGCGATGTAAGCGTGACGTTTCGTCATCACTATTTTCCAACATCTTTTTTCGAGTCATCAGAGGCAAGCTTCTGCTGCTATCTTCTTCCTCTTCGACTTTCGGCTTTAACAATGTTTCTCGATTAAAGAACAAATTATACTTTTTTCGCAATGTTAAATTTTTATCGCGTTCCCGTCTCTTATCTCTCTCCTTGAGCCTAGCTTTGTATGTGTCCGTTTCGGGACCAAGAGCGATAGACTTCTTTTCCAATATATTTGATTGATATGATTTGGGAGGGACGAACGAAAAGGAGGCTGCCGTTCCAGTACTTATTCTGGAATTGATGCTGTCACAACTACTCGATGACGAGCTAAGCAGGTCTGGAACGCTAGACTCGCGGGAAGGTGAAGATTTAAACCATTTGAAGAATGAAAACAAACCGCTACTTCTCTTGGATGTTTTTGGATCATAGCCAGGACTTTGTCCGACAGTCGTGGGGATATCTTGTGAATGATTAAAGTTCATATTATTACAATGACCATGTCTTTTGGGTACTTGGGGATTTCCTTCTTACTAATACAGGCGTCGATTAGAACTTTTATCACCATTAACGGTATTAGTAACCACCTTTTGCTACTAAATATTTTTAGATATCGGTTGTGGTTCTGTTATTAAAATTTGGTAAATAGGAATGCAACATCTTGCAGTTAGTAAGGGGACACTCCGACTTACCATACACACATAATGACCCGATTTAATGTGGAAAGCACATCTGTAAAATACTGAACTCGTAGTAAAGTTTCGTTTGATAACTATGTATAAGCTGCGGCAGAACAAGGGCAACACTATCTATACCTGTAAGTGAAGCGAAGATACATTCGGGAGTTCGTTTAATTTTAGCACTACTTCGGCAGAATCCGTCACACCAACGAATACAAAATTTTGTTACAAAAACGAAAATTCGTATTTCATTTAATAAACACTTTCCAGTTTCGTTTCTTTTCTTTCAGCTAATCGTTTCCGTTAAACGTTTGAATTTGTTCACTTTATTTCAATGAACCATTATGTTTTGAATTAGTTAAAAATTATCACAGATTTTGATATTTTTACACACTCACTAAATTTTTAAATATACTTAAAGAGTATCATAAAAGCATAGGAATAAAATACATATGTAATATATATTAAATCTCACTTCTGTATTTGTTTGCCAGCCAATTAGAGGTACACTTATAAGAAATGAAATAAATACATACAAGAATAATTTGATTTCCAATTAATTATTACACACCCAGTAAAGGAATCAAATAAGTCAAAATTCATGTATGTATATACCAATCCCAAACCTATCTATCTAAAATGAGTAAAATAAATTTAGACAAGAACTATACTATATTTGTAATAAACGCTTTCTACAAATTACCCCAATTTATACACAAAATTACAAAACATCAAAAATTCTGCTCCTGATAATGAAATGTATTTATGTAAATTCTAGGTAACAATAAATTAAATATCAACTTCCACAGTATAGAATTCAGACATAATAAAAGGTTCCATGTAATCAAACCAATATTATTTATACATGTATACTGTATATCTGCAATTAAAATTTTAGCTTTTAATTTTCGTTTTAGGCATTAGGTATCAAGGTTTTACTTTACAATTAAATTTTTTAACTCTAGAAATGCTACTTTTTAAATAGTATTCATAACACATATAGAGTTTTTTACAACACAGTTCTTAGGGAAAACTATCGTTTTAAGAACGTTTTAGCATTATTGAGATATACAACTTTTTCGTCAACATTATTAGTTTTCATGCGAATATTAATATTTCTAAGTAAAACTGTAAGGTGAGAGTAGGTATATAGGATGCAAATAGTAGAAATATCTTCATTAGATCTAATTATTGTAGAAACGTCTTTGTATGCTATCTAAATATGAAGTTTAAACAGTTTTCTTTTAAACAGTCCAATAATTTTTAAAATTCCAGTAATTTAATTAATCAATACTTTCTGTAATCTAATCATTAATGTTTCTGATCACTTATTTGTTTTCCAATTCTTTATTTATATCTTGATGTAGCCTCCACATACAAAACTACTTTACAATGGACATATTTTTTTTTTAATTTTAATTTTGTAACGCAATTAATTGTCTCTAAAACAAAAAACTAATCATATTTTTATAAGTGTTCACTTTTTTGAATATGCTCTTTCTTTGGACACAATCAAAACTCAGTTTGTCCAACAGTTCTACACAAAATTTCACTGTATTAATGATAAATAATGTTAATGCAGAGTTTTCTTGCAAAAAACTTTCATTATGCTCTATTTAGTGCTATAAACATCTTTCAAACAGTTTTATTGCAATTGCTAGCAGCTCAGGGTCATGTCTTTTTGGAGCTTCTACAAAACTATCTGTTATTGGAAGCCGGCAAAGATGTCTTCGAATTGCAAGATCCCTTCTTGCAGACAGAGCCCTTCTATAAGAGCCTGCACTAGTAAATAAATTTCTTCGCACAGCCTCTTCTTCCTTTAAGCAAACTTGAATAGCTGCTATAGGATGTGAAATTTCAACTTCAATGGGAATATTTTCATATTGTTCTTCATATGTTTCCATTTTTACCTCTACAACTTGGCTTTCAATTTTCACAGCAGGCAAATCATTTTCATCTCTGGGTTCTTCTTTAATTTCTACTTCAGTTTCTTCTTCTTTAATTTGTTCAGTGACTTTCAATTTTGAAATATTTTCCTTTTCTTCCATAATTTTTGCATTAACATGTTGTTTAAATACATTTTTAACTGTATCTTCA